GCGGGTGTCACCTGCGGCGTCTGTGCGGGATGCGGAGCAGGAGCCACAGCCCTGCTGGGCTCCCCGAAGCCTTGAGAAGTTAATAAAACCGCGGAGTGCAGGAGCTTTAGGCTCTTAACTATTGGCGGAGGGGGTGAGGAACTTCGTCCCTGCCCGGTTGTTAAGAGAAAAGCTCGTCAGGAGAAATATTTAACGCTGGTCACTGTGTTTGTGCAGTTCGTTCTTAACATGGGAGGGGGAATGTGTAACCCCAGTGTTTAGCTGTCCTTGCTAATAATAAAGATAAATACTTATAAATAAAGGTGATGAAAGCAATCCTCAGAAATCATGCATTTAGGTCTCTTCGTCGTGCTGTCGCTTTGAACCACCTCTACTCGTTCTGTCACAGACTTCCCAAATATATTCTTCCCAGTGTTTTGGAGGGGGGTTGCAATGGGGTCTATGCGTTGTTTTTTTTAGAACAGCTTAGATGTTAAAGTGATGTAGTTAGTAAATTATGTCAGAGGCCATGTTTCTGTTTCAAATCTTATGGTAGTGGTGACATGGTTTTGTTGTATGATAGCTGAAGAAGGATGTGCTCATGTATTAAGGGCTTTTGAAGTAACCAGAACTACTCTGGTTTCCTGTGTCATTTTGACATACTGATTAGCCATGCTACATACATACTGAAATTCTGAAATGTGTGTGAAGTTTTTCTTAAGGCAGTTACAGGTGCTAGGCTTACATAAGTGCTATACCTAAGGGCCATGCCCTTCTCTCGGTAAAATGACTTTGTTAATTCATATCATGTTTTTTTAGATTTATTCAGTTGATGATTATGAGAAATCCCTGTCTGCTCTGGAGATTACTGTGCCACATGATTTAGCAGAGGGGTTCGTCAATAATAAACAGGAGAGCTACAAGTTCAAGTAAGTGGAAGCCTTACCTTTATATCTTCTACTTTTAGTGATAGGTATCACTGTGTGGTGATATAAGTCAATAGAACCTGGAAAAGCCCATTCCTAAGATCAAGCCTCAGTATAAATAGATTTTTCTACTACTCCATTAATAAGAGGAATGCTCTAGCATATTATGCTCTGCACCTGAACAAGTTTGCTTGCATTTGATAAAGTTGTGGGGGTTTTATCTATCATTTCTGCAAGTCATTAATTTCTGCAAGTCATTAATTTCAAACTTTCATCTCAAAGACTGCATCTTCATTTATCAGATCTTCCATCTTTACAGCTTCATTTGAGTTTACATATGAAAACTGAATGCAGGACTGAATGTTCTCCTGTGATCGAATGATTTGACATCAACTGGCTAAAAATGTCTTGATGTAAAACACTTTAGAAACTGTGCTTCAGACAAAACCCAAATACTTTAAAGAAAACCAGAGATTGTTGAAAGAAGCAAAACCATGGTTGTAGAATTTAAATAGTTTTTAGAAGTGAAAAGTACCTACCAGCAAAATCAATAAAATATTTTTATCTTTCCAGTAGAGGTCTTGGAGGCAACATTTTAAAATTTTGGTTACGAAGAAAGCTAAATGTGTAACCACCTCATGTGACTAGACTGAGATTGTCTTTTTTCCAAGTTGAATATTTGAGGTTTCTTATAATACTGAATCAAGTAGATTCTTTGCTCTATGTTATTCTAAAAGAGAGCCCCATTTAAACATCTGCATCTCAGACTGATGTCATTTTACATCAGCTAAGGACATCTGTTCCTCTTGGGAAGAGAGTGACTGACCTCTTCAACTAGATTAATATGTGAAACTAGCTTAGGCTGCAGATGCCCAAGCCAGCTGTAATGAATGCAGAATTTTTTTCAGATTTTTTAATTTATTTTTTTCAAGAAATACTATTATTCTCAAGGCAATGCAAAAACAATGCTTTGGAGCAAGCATTCATTTTTCCACCATAAAACTCACAGTTTCATGCAGTCTGTCTGTCCTTGTCACCTCAAACGTTATTATCCTTTGTTCTTACTTTCTTATATAGAAATCAAACACAATTATTTGAATGACTTGGCTGGTTAAGGGTTAACAGGATAGAATATATGTCTCAATACTTTGTGTGTCAGATTTGTCTGTGATGATGTACACACTGTATAACCCCTTGCAGTCCATGGTGCCTTTCTACATACCTGGTGTCCATAATGCCTGTCTATATACCTGGTGAAGTTCTGTGTGAGTATACAGACTCACAGAAGGGACAACACAGCAGGGCACAAGAAGTCCAGGAAGTTTCTGGGCTGTATGAGTCGCAACTTCCTACACGTAGAGTTAAAGAGCCTTTGAGGGGAGAAGCTCGGCAGCAGCTCTTCTTTGAAAACTTGGAAGAACTGATTAGGGATATGAAACCTGGGGGTAGTCCTGGTTGCTGTGGCTATGAGATAGTGAAATTCAATATCCTGAGAGAACAAGGCAAAAAGCAAAATTGCAACCCTGGAGTTCAGGAGAGCAGACCTTGGCCTGTTCAGGGATGTAGCTGGAAAAACCCTGGGAGACACAGACCTGGAGAGAAGCCTAGGAGACATTCCTGATTTTCAAGGATCACCTTGTCCAAGCTCAGTCCATCCTGAGGAGAAAATGATAAAAGGCAACAGGAGGCTTATGTGGATGAGAAAGAAGCTCCTGACTAAACACAAACGTAACAAGGAAGTGTACAAGAGATGGGAGCAGGGTCAGGTGACCCCAGGAAAGCTGAGAAATGGGATCAGGAAAACACAGATAATACACAGTGAGCAGTGTTAAAAATGAGCTGAGCTGCTTGGCTCAGAGGGTTGTCATCAGGAGTACAAAGCCCAGCTGGAGGACCGTCACTAGTGCAGTAATCAATAGTGTGATCCAGTACTGTTTAGCATTAATGACTTGGGTGGTGGGACCTAGTGAAGTTGCAGCAAGTTCACTGACAGTATGAAAGTAGGAGGGATGGTTGGTGCACCAGATGATTGTGCTGACATTCAGAGTGTCCTCAAGAGGCTGGAGAAATGGGTGAATAGGAATTTCATGAAGTTCAATAAAGTAAAATGCCAAGTCCTGCTCCTGGTGAGGATTAAACAGGACAGGCTCAGGGTTGACAGGAAGCAGGTTTGCAGAAAGAGACCTGGAATCCTGGTTAACAAAAATGTGAACATTAAGTCAGCAAAACAGCATTTGCAGCAAAGAAGGCCAACAGCCTCTGGGCTGCATTGGGCAGAGTGTTGCCAGCAGGTTGTGTGAGTTGATCCTTCCCTTCTGTTCATCACCAGTGCAATCATATCTGGAGTTCTGTGTCCACTTCTGGGCTGCAGCAAAGGGACACAAAGATGGTTAAGGGACTGGAGCATCTGACATGTAAGGAGAGACTGAGTGACCTGGAACTGTTTAACCTGGAGAAGAGAAGGCTCAAGGGGATCTTATCAATGAGGTCCACCTGATGGGGACCAGGAGAATAAATAAGATGGAGCCAAATGCTTTTTAGTGGTGCCCAGTGACAGCACAAGAGTTAAAGAGCACAAACTGAAATACAGGGAATACCAAAAAAATATATTTTTTTTTTTCTGTGGAGTAATCAAATACTGGAAGAGGTTGCCCAGAGAGGCTGTGGAGCTCCTGCTCATTAAGATACTCAAAACCTGACCATACAGCTCTCTGCTCTGGCTGACTCTCCTTTGAGCAGGGGGTTTGGAGCAGATGGTCCCTTCCAACCTAAAATGCTCTGGTTTTCGGAGGCAACTGCAGATATTTTATATAGAAAGTGACAAAACCTTGATCAAATTAAATATCCGCTTGTGACTTACAGTAACTGCAGTAGAATGAAGGAAGTAGTTACAAAAAATGTGAGCTTGGCTATACTGGTGGGATGCTGTATTTAGTTGTAGTGTAATCTATTTATCCAGGTTTCAGCGTGGTGCCAGTTGCAAACACTTATTCTCTTGATAGATTTCAAATACGGTTTATTTTTTTCTAAGCCACATCATTTTATCAGAGGATTTTATTGTACAGATCTCATCAAAGCAGCACTGTGTACAGCCTATTTATATACAACAGCACAACAGCACGCTGTGGTTTAAGACTACAGGGAAAACATTGTGCTGAGTTATGTAAGCCTGGTGATGTAAACATTGACCATTGCAAACAAAAACAAAAATGTATGAATCAAGTAGTGTTTTAAGATTCTGAGCAATTATTATTTGCTTCATATTTTCAGATTTCAGAAAATTTTTGATCAAGAAGCAAAGCAAGATGTGGTTTTTGACAGCGTTGCCAAGCCAGTAGCAGAATGGTACGTTGTTGATCTTGGGAGTAATAGGGGTAACACAGGGTCAAAAATATTAATTTTATTCCTTGGAGGAGAACTGGCAAGTGTTTGTCTCACTGTTGTAAAACTGGATCAATGTTTTAATTTTCTAAATACATTTCTGAAAATAGGAGATATGCAACAAGCCCCTGATATTTTTATATATATATGATAAGGTGCCGTTATGAACTCCTAAAATATCTCTACTACTGTTGCCCCTTTTGTTGCATAGACTTAGAAGTCCATGTCTAAGTAGTTTTTTGTCTGTAATATGAGCTCCCTTGATTGCATTAAAAAATATTCCCTTTATAGTTCCATGAAGGGGAAAACCTAACAAAAATATAATTCACTTGTTTAGTTTCCTTTAAGTTAGTGGCACTCATGAATTAACACCTGTGGAGACATTCTCAAATTATGCCCTCAATATTTTTGTCTGAATGCGTAGGGCAGGGATTTTGGTAGTTTTTGTTTTTTCACCCCCATATAATAATCAATCTTCATTTTTTAGAGCTTGCAAAGGCAAGCATTTCTGACTGATGCAGAAACCTTGGGCAAACTTAAGTGGAAAAGGAAAATCTACAGATCATGGAAGGAGGGGCTGGTCACTTGGGAGGAATATAGTACTGTTGTCAGAGAATGTAGGGAGGCAATTAGGAAAGCTAAGGCCTCCTTGGAGCTTAACCTTGCAAGTCAGGTTAAGGATAATAGAAAGGGCTTTTTCAAATACATAGCTAACAAAACTAACACTAGAGGCAATATTGGCCCACTGAGGAATGAGGTGGGAGCCCTGGTGACAGAGGATATAAAGAAGGCAGAGGTGCTGAACGCCTTCTTTGCCTCTGTCTTTCCAGATGGAATGCACCCAAGGGTGCTGAGGGAGCTGGCGGAGGTCATTGCTAGGCCACTCTCCATCATCTTCAGTAAATCATGGGCAACAGGTGAGGTGCCTGAGGACTGGAGGATAGCAAATGTCACTCCAGTCTACAAGAAGGGCAAGAAGGAGGACCCGGGTAACTATAGACCGGTCAGCCTCACCTCCATCCCTGGAAAGGTGATGGAACAACTTGTTCTTGTGACTATCTCCAGGCACATCAAGGACATGGGGGTCATCAAGAGCAGTCAGCATGGTTTTATCAAGGGTAAATCATGTTTGACTAACCTCATAGCCTTCTATGAGGAAATTACTAGGTGGATAGATGATGGTAGAGCGGTAGATGTGGTTTATCTTGATTTCAGTAAAGCATTTGACACCGTCTCCCACAGCATCCTTGTGGATAAGTTGATCAGGTATGGGTTTGGTGACCAGGAAGTGAGGTGGATTAGGAACTGGTTGAAAGGAAGGAGTCAGAGAGTTGTAGTCAATGGGGTAGAATCTGGTTGGAGGTGTGTTACTAGTGGAGTCCCACAAGGGTCGGTGCTGGGACCGGTGTTGTTCAACATCTTCATCAACGACCTGGATGAGGGTATAGAATGTACCCTCAGCAAGTTTGCTGATGACACTAAGCTGGGAGGAGTGGCTGACACACCAGAAGGCTGTGCTGCCATTCAGAGAGACTTAGATAGGTTGGAGAGTTGGGCGGGGAGAAACATGATGAAATTCAACAAGGGGAAGTGCAGAGTTTTACATTTGGGGAAGAACAACACCATGTCCCAGTACAGGTTGGGGGCTGAACTGCTGGAGAGTAGTGTAGGTGAAAGAGACCTGGGGGTCCTGGTAGACAGGAGGATGACCATGAGCCAGCAATGTGCCCTTGTGGCCAAGAAGGCCAATGGCATCCTGGGGTGTATTAGAAAGGGTGTGGTTAGTAGGTCAAGAGAGGTTCTCCTCCCCCTCTATTCTGCATTGGTGAGGCCACATCTGGAGTATTGTGTCCAGTTCTGGGCCCCTCAGTTCAAAAAGGACAGGGAACTGCTCGAGAGAGTCCAGCGCAGAGCTACGAAGATGATTAGGGGAGTGGAACATCTCCCTTATGAGGAAAGGCTGAGGGAGCTGGGTCTCTTTAGCTTGGAGAAAAGGAGACTGAGGGGTGACCTCATCAATGTTTACAAATATGTAAGGGGTGAGTGTCAGGGGGATGGAGTTAGGCTTTTCTCAGTGATGACCAGTGATAGGACAAGGGGTAATGGGTGTAAATTGGAGCATAGGAGGTTCAAGGTGAATATCCGAAAAAATTTTTTTACTGTAAGAGTGACAGAGCACTGGAACAGACTGCCCAGGGAGGTTGTGGAGTCTCCTTCCCTGGAGACATTCAAAACCCACCTGGATGAGTTCCTGTGTGATGTACTCTAGGTGACCCTGCTCTGGCAGGGGGGTTGGACTAGATGATCTTTCGAGGTCCCTTCCAACCCCTAGGATTTTATGATTCTATGATTCATTGTGTGGATTGAATTCCACTCTGGACTAGGTGGATTCCAATACACTGTTGACTCTGCTCAGCTTATGCCTACATTGCTGAAATTAGTACTGGTTTTAGTGGGGGAGAAAATCCCACATTAGAGGAAGCAGAATTTCTGCATAATGTTTGTTTATCAAACTCACTGCTCAGAATCCAAACTTGTATTGAGTTGGGAAGTATTGCTTTGCGTACCAACTTTTCTCATTCATTGTCTGACCCACCTGTTGGTTTGATCTATGATTCTGCAAGTTACTCTTGAGCCTATTGCACTTGCATGTGTTTTGCACTGGAGAAAAACTGACAGTCCTCAGTTGGACACCAAAGCTCTTTGCAATTTCATTTTCTTCACTTTCCCCCTCTATTTTCTTATTCAAAGTCCCACATAAAGCAGGAGGGTATTTGACAGTGAAAATGAAGAGCCAGTGAATTTGAAGCTTTACTAGAATAAGTTAAATATATGCTTTATAAAATTTTGTTACATTCTTTCACCCAAAAGGGATTTCTTTGCTTATCTGACTTTATAACATATATCTTCAGGTTAATTAATTTACTCAGTTTTAAATATTCTGAGTTTAATAGTGACTACAGACAAAAAAATTATTTATCTTTTTTGACTATACTTGGAGAGAGAAGTGTTATAACTCTTATTGTTACATGCTATGGATTGAATTAACTCTCAACTCGAGAGTATCAAAGCTAACTAGCAACAAACTGACATGTTTTTCCTTTGGTGTGTGGTGTGGTCCTTTGCTAGAATATGGAAGATTTTCCAGTTGAATAATTCACCTATAGAATGCTCTACTAACCAGGAAGTGGTATTGTTTTCATTTGTTTCAGTGTTGGCTGATACAAGATTTTTATACAATGATTTGCTCAATTACATAGAGTTTAGTTTTCATTTTTAGAGATGTTTTAGTGCTTAAATGCTATCAAAACCAGTTGTTTCCACATATAATTATCTCCAAATAGTGCAGGTTTTAATGCTGAAACTGATTTATGAAATCATTCTTAACTGAATCAAGACTGTTTTTGCCCTGAGTGTTTTGTTAAAACTTGTATTGATGTTTTTATTGTTACTGATAATATGGAAGGATAATTTTGCTTGTGTTTTTATAGGAGAGTAGGTAATACCTGAAGTACGTGCCTTTTTGTCTTCCTCTTCCTTCATTTTTACCTTTTATTAGACAAAAATATGTATTTCAAAATGTCTTCAGAATCCTGAGGTTCCTTGGCTAAACTGTGCCAGAAAATTATTTCACCTTATAGTTAATGACTCAATTTTCCTTACCATTGTGGAACAGTAAGAATTGCCCTGTTACTCTGAAATGCCACAGTCTTTCATAGCAACATGTTCTTCACTATTTATTTCTTTCTAAGTCAATGTTCTCTTGCAGGGAAGTACCATTAAAAATGCACTCGTTTCTGTTGCTGGAGCCACTTTGCTAAGAGAAGAGTATTTGTCTGTGTATTGCCAAGGGAAAGGAATTATCAATTAAATCGTTCAGTAACGTATTGAGGCTCTTTGCCCTACTTACTTAGGAGTTGTGAGAAAATTCACTTAGACTTGAACAGTCAGAAAAAAAATCCTGGGTTTTGTTTAAACTGAGAACAACAATACAGTGTTAAGAATTATAAAATCTTTTGCATTTGTTCTTGGGTGGGTGTAACTTGGATGCAACTTTCTTTTTTCTTTTTTTTCTTTTAAAGTGTGCTTTCTTTGATGTTGGGCCACTAGTTTTCTCTCTCTAAGTCCAGTTACATTGTCATCTTGCCTGCGGTTTCTGAGGCACCAGACATTAGTTCATTTAATTTGCTTCTTCAGTCAAAAGTGCCAGCCTCTGCAAACCATTATAAGCATGTGTTTTGCTTGATTATTTTTTTTTTATTGTGAATTTGTTAATGCTTGAGTCATGCCTTACTTGGTTTCTTTTTAATATTTGTGCATGCTTTCTTCTTTTCCTTTTAATTTTAAATATATATTCTTGATTATTTTTTTTTGTGCAGAGCCAACTTGATCTTTAAGTACTAACTCTATTACTCTACCAGAAAAATAGAAAAATTAAATAACATCCTTCTTTTACTGTTTCCCAATAATTATGCAATGCTTAATTCTAATAATAGAGCAAAGTTACTCTTACAATGCTTCAAATATTAGTGTTATGACAATTCATGCAATCAGAAATTAAGCAGAAAATCTTAGTGCCTTAGAATTAGTTCTGTTTTGAGTTCTCATATGGCCAATGCTTTATCTTGATTTATTAAAGGATAACATTGAAAATATATTCTCTTCAGAAGTATCATGCAAATAAGAAACAGCTCAGCTGTTTGTAAACCTAATGGCAATCACCTATAGTTTTTTGAAAGATCTGATAAGTCCCCAGGATCACGCTCCCTTTGCCACTGATTTTAGTTTCTTCTCCTGTGCTCTGTTGTCATGGTTTTGGGCCCAACACGACAAAAAAGGAGTAGCCCCATGGCCGCTCACTCAACTCCCCACACATATACACTCTGGGATGAGGAGGACAAAGCTTATGGGAGCTTGGAGGACAAGGAGGGTTCTTCACTGATTAAGGTCCTGGGCAAAACAGA